TTGCAGAACCAATCCCAGCATTTTTTGGCTGTTGTGGTTTTCCTAGGCAAGTTTACGTCCAGTAGTTTGCCTGGACGGTCGGCTACTCGATACCACTGTCGAAACCAACGCAAGGCCCGCATCTAGGATCGAAACCGGCACCCCGGCATTACAAAGCGCGTTCGTAATGCCTAAGACACAGACGCCGACTTCAGGGACATACACAAGCTAAAATTAATCATATGGTAACATAGAATTGATAAGTATGATCAACATCCTTAATCGTTGCCTTTTATTTTAATCCAGATAACCAATAGTTATATTCTATTTTATAATATCAGGCGAAGTCAAGAATGTAACTGCAATGGTAGGAAAGATAAAGTCACTGGGTGTGTGTGTGTGTGTGGGGGGGGGGGGCACTAAACCGGGACTATTGCTATGGTGAGTAATTTGACTAGTCGCCGCACCACAGGGGTTCCAGTACAAGGAACATCAGAAACGAATAATGCAACAACTGCTAGAGTTGAGCTCTAGCGAATAAAACACGTCTCGGTTACTTCAGCTGGATGACCGATTTGGATGATGCTAATGATGAAGGGGAGACGGATCATAAACAATGTAGATGAAGTGTACGACAAGCTCCAACAGTACGTAGGTATAATTAGAGAACATTCCAGCGTGTGTAATTAAGACTTGGACGTTGTGAACATTTGTTTTTCTATTGGTAACTGCTATTATGTTTTCTATATATTATTATATATATATATATATATTATATACTATATATATTTCTATATTAAATAGGCCACAACCCGACACTGTTCCCAATATAGACGAAGAAGAAGCTATGCCACCTCTAGATGCTACCTGTGAACCATTCACAATGTTAGAACTTAAATCAGCAATAAAAAAACTAAAGAAGAACAAGGCTACTGGCGCAGATGAAATCTCAGCTGAAATGTTAAAGGCAGCAGACGAAAACACCTTACAATATTTGCTACAGCTGTTCAATGATGTTTGGCTAAATGAATCCCCACCGCAACAGTGGAAAGAAGGTGTTATATTCAAACTGCCCAAAAAAGGTGATTTAGCAGACTGCAACAACTGGCGCGGTATCACCCTACTCTCCGTACCAGGAAAACTGTTCTGCAGCATGCTAATGCAGAGACTGAAAAAGCCAATAGATGCAAGACTCCGAGAAGAACAAGCAGGATTCAGACCGAATCGGTCATGCATCGACCATATATTCACACTCAGGACCATCGTAGAAGAGTCAGTAGAGTTTCAATCCCAACTCATCATCAACTTTGTTGATTTTCAGAAGGCCTTTGACAGCATACACCGCTCTACACTCTGGAAGCTACTCACAATCTATGGTTTCCAAGATAAATATGTCAATATTATAAAGGCCTTCTACACCGATTCCCGCTGCCTTGTTAGAACGGAATCTCGTAACTCTGATTGGTTCCCAGTAGAAACAGGCGTGAAACAAGGATGTGTCTTGTCACCGATGCTTTTCGGAATAGCACTCGATTGGGTCATGCGCAAATGCACACAGGACACACATCTAGGCATCAAATGGGTCGACAAAGTTCTCGAAGAACTTGTCTTTGCTGACGACCTAGCACTCCTGAGCACAACACATCTAGAAGCTCAGGAAAAAATGGACCGCCTCCAGAATATTTCAAGCCAAATCGGCCTTCAGGTCAACGCAGCCAAAACGAAAATCATCGATCTTACCAACGAGTCGAAAGACATCAAACTAAAGGATATTGTTCTTGAAAAAAATCACCAGCTTCACATACTTAGGGAGCAAGATAACCTCTGCGGGAGATACAACATCAGAAATAACGACTCGAATCGCGTTAGCATCAAGTGCCTTTAACAAACTGTCAAACATTTGGAAGTCAAGATCACTCAGCAACAACACGAAACTTAAGGTCTTCAATTCCTGTGTGATCCCAGTGCTAACTTATGGTTGTGAGAGTTGGAAATCATCAGTATCAATCGATAAGAAACTAGTCGCTTTCGAGAATAGATGCCTCCGAAAGCTATTGAATGTTCACTGGTCGGACTTTAGGTCCAATACATCTATAAGACAGGAAACAAAACAAAAATATGTGTCTGATTTTATTAGAATGCGTCGCTGGAATTACATCTGTCACGTACTCAGAATGGACATACAGAGACTTCCCCACCAAGCCTTCATATGGTCACCAGAGGGTAAAAGAAAACAGGGAAGACCAAAAGAAACTCTCCGTAGAACCATCACAAGGGAGAGCTCAACCATAGGTTCAGTCGCACTCAAGACCTACATCAAGTGGCAACGAACCGACAGACGTGGAAAGCTATGACCTCTGCCCTATGCGCCATCTTTGGCACAAGAGGAATAACTAACTAACTAATTATGTTTTCACAACCGACGTCACTGCACATTGAGTATTCCCAAGCGTGCTCAGTCCTCCGATGCAGCAGCCACTCCAAAGTACTTCTACTAATTGTTTCAATGAGAAGCTGGTTATAGTGTCTCCTATCTCTGCCTCGAAGACGGCACAGACGTGCTTCATCATGCTTTACTCCCATGTCACGCAATCGTGTTAGTATTAGGGATTCCTCATTATCCACTAGCCCAGTCTGT